CACACAAACCTCCTTTTTTCCCCCGATTGGTCCTGAACTTCTGACCTTTAAGCTGTTGCTCTCAAAAACATTAAAAGGCCTTGAAAAGCTCTCTCTAGCTACTTAGTTGTGCTGCAACCAGGCAATGAGAAACAGACATATGTGATTCATGCATGGTGGGCATATGGTTTTGGTTGAACAGAGATATCCAGAGTTAAAAACAGCAGTTTTTTAACCTGTATTCATGAGGTGCTCTTACGATCATGCCATGCAGTTCATTTTACTCTACTGTGTATTTAAAGCACTGATATGCAAATGATATGTGACCTTGTATATCTAAAATTCTTGCACCTTGCAAAGTCGCTTCTGAGTGATTGGCACTGATAACAATTCAGCATGTTGTGGCAGTTTCACTATCAATGTTCCGTCACATTTCTGTGATTGGTGATAATTTATTCATTAGTAATGCATTTTAACCACACACATGTTCACTGTTTCACAACAGCAAACCCAATTTATCTTCTCCAGCTCTGCAGCAGCAAACTTTTTGCAGACCTATTGCATCTGATAAAATAAAAGGTCAGGATGACACTGCAGCAAAAAGTTTTTACTGTTTTCTCCTCTTAATGAGCAAATTCCCTGAATGTAATGCTGCTCATCTTCAAGTCTAAATATCTTTTGGCTTCCTTTGGGACACATTCTGGGCCTTTTCCTTTTCAATGTGCAGTTCAAGGAGAGCTTAACACTTATTAAAAAGCCTGCTTCGGCTCCCTGACTAACTAGTCTGTACAGCAGCAAACAAACACATAATCCCTTGCCATCTCTGCGGGTACAGCTGAGTGCATTTCCTCAGTGTCACCCAGATGGCTATGCAGTAAATAAACAATAACAGTTGCAAGAAAATCACACGAGTCCATTAGAAAGCACATATGAGCATTGCATAGGCCAGAGAAGAGGAAACTATTTACAAATACTAATTAATACCCGTACATTCATTGTGCATGAACGGCTCTATGGCAATACCAATTCACCAGCTGCAGTCATGTGAAAAAGAACGTTTTCACAGGCCTCTATGCAGAGCTGTGAAAGTTTTAGAACATCCCGATAACTTGAAGTTAGCATTTTCTGTGTGACTTTTTCAGTCTCATATCCATGTGGAGGAATTTTGGCCCAATCTTCTTTACAATGTTGCTTTAGTTCATTGAGGTTTGCAGGCATTTGTTTATGCAGAGCTCTGTTGCAGCATTACAGTCGGTTTAAACACATGAGTCTTTCCTTTTTCAGTCATTCTGTTTTGGATTTGCTGCTGCGCTTGTGATCATTGTCATATAGCATGACTTAGTTTGGGTCAAACTCTACCTGCCCTCACTCTTGTATACCTCTTTTTGGTATACAAGAGTAATCTGCGGTCGACTCAGTTACTGAAAGTCTTGTGGTTGCAAAACAAGCCTCCTCCACCACCCTGACAGTTGGTTTGAGGGGTTTGTGCTGGTATGCTGTATTTGGTTTTCACCAATTCTGGCGCTGTGCGTAATGACCAGACATCAGCGTTTTGGTCTCATAGAACTCTTGTGTTTTATTCACATGCAGCTCTGCAGACTTGCAGCTCTATCCTTTTTACAGAGAGGAGGCTTTCTCCTGGAACTTCCTCTAAGACTTTTTTTTAATTGTCCTGTCATCATCTTTAGCATTATCATCCTTGTTGTTGTTTATTTGTTGTTTATTTTCAGATTGTTTTGGGGGATTTTTTGCAATTTCTTTGAGCATTGCACACCACGCATCTGACCTTGGGATGAACAGCCACTGGGAAGACTGTAGCATTGTATTAACACACAGTTGACTGATCCAGAACAGTTAGGCAGTTGTGGACTCTGTAAGGAATGAATCAAATACACTACTCACACATATAGCTGGGTTAAAACTTGGAAAATAGTCCTGCAAACTAGATACACGAAACAAATGCTATTGAGCGGATTCTTAAAAATTGTGAACTGTATCACTGCCAGAGCAGAACAATGCTGCATGAACTTTATTCAAAGAACTGAAGGCTGCATTTGCATTTTATTGATTAGGCGAGCTTTACTGAATCGCTTTTAATTTAAAGATACTGGATGCCACCCCTCCATAATACGCACTTGGCAAACGATCAAGTCCACTTTGTCATGTTTAATTTAAAAGGTCGGTAAGTCTGAATGAGAAATTAAAGAGTTTAAAAGTGTTCTTGTGTAAATAAAATTGTACCCATGAAGTCGGGTAGTGACGATGGGATCTGTGGAGTGTTGCCTTTACAGATGCATTGGTTCAAAGAAGAGAAGACCATCCTAACTTTCCCTGTTGCTGCTGCCATCATGTGGGGTGATTTCTGCACAGGCTGCAAATATTGCACAGTAGATTTGTAATTTTAGCAGCTCTAAACCCTGCTTGCTTTCTTTAAGTGCTTCTCTTTTGTCCCCATTAAGAGTGAGGGACACCAGCTGATGTTAGCAAGTGACCAAGCACATAAGATCATTGAGAAAAGGAGCTGAGGGACGTTTTCCCAAAGTCTTCGGCCTCCTGGGTCTCCTCCAGGTGGCTATCGAAAAGAGCATCTTCTTTTTACACTGTCTGTGCACTCACCTTTTTACCCTATACTAGTATTAACTAGTGAAGTGTAATAATCAGCAACGATTGTATTTTTGTGCCTGTGCAAACTTCACTGGGAATTACATAACATATTTTGCCAGAGGACCAGTGAGAGTCAGCGTCTGCGATTTGAGCTCTTTTCTTTCCAAGTTTTTTGTTTTTCTGCTGCCTCTTTTTCTGCTTGAGAATTTGAGTAGAGGAGTTTGCGTCAGCAAAGCTTGGAGCAGCATTTGTGTGCGATTTCATGACTCATGTTGCCACACAGCATGATGAACAGTTTACAGAAAGTGCAGGCTGAAATCCATCAGAAGCGAAATCCCAAAGGATGATCAGATGGATGGGATCAATGGCAGCGTGAGCTGAGCGACATTTTTCCTAATGAATATTTGTAATCAAGTCTGCGGATGATGGTAGAAAATTTGAGTGAAATACAAACTTTGCTTATGCCATACAAATTCATCACACAGAACAGTGACATGATGGGATCATTTCCAAATCACATTAAGTCCCCCGGTAATACTAATCCTGGATGGATTGAGCTAAAGACTATATTACATTGTCATCTGTGTCAGTTGTGAATCGTGACACAGAGCTAAACCCGAGAGATCTGCCCGTCTCTCTCCCGACAGCTGTTTTCCCAATACTGCCATGAAAAATGGCCGCTGACCTCCACCAACAAAAGCAATGTTTTGTTTTGGCTCTTGCATGACAAGAGTTGCAGTCCATCAAAGTTATTATAACAACTACTTGAAATTTTCCATAATTGCCCGGCTTTCAGCCTCACAGCAGAGGACTGGCTGTGTTTGCACTGACTTACGCAATCCTTCTTCCTCTGCATCATGATTGATGACTCTTTGTTCGAGGTGATTATTCCTCTACTTTTATCTCATCCCATTTATAGCCGGAGCAAAGTCTGAATAAATGACTCTGTCCCTGACACATGCTTTATTTACTGGAGCGGGAAACAATATTTTTCATAGTCATAACATCAATTCAAACAACTCTGTAAACATATATATTAGTGATCGGCGGTCTCCCTTTAAGTAAGTGTTATCTGTTTGATTACATGTCGCCGTCCTTTCTCCAAGGACACTCCACTGTCCTCTGAAAAACTGTTCGTTGATTTGCAGCACTTTGTGGAAAACAAACCATTTAGAAAAATGTTGTATTCTGAAACACCTTAAAGAAATCCCATAAAAAGGCCATAATATTTACTACTTTGTCTGAGGTGCTCAACTACAACAACACACCGTACGAACTGGAAAGGCAAGCAGCTGTGACTGGGGGTTGGCTCGAATCACTTTGCTATTAAAAAAAAAAGGCTATGCGTAGTACACATAGACAAATGTAGCCACAGATATAAAAGTGCAAAAATGTCTGTCTTAGACTGCAGAGACAAACAGGAGGGATGCTTTCTCTAAGTCAAGAAGTGGATCACAGACTAGGACAGCTGACTGCGAGCGCATGATATCCTCAGCACATTTCCATTCCATTTGTTTTGTAATTTTGTGTAGGATCATGCTTTAAACTATCAAGCTGATGAATGACATCACTTTAATGTCAAAGAGACATGAGGGGTGTGTTCCAAAGTGTCTCCTGCACAGGCCTCCTCAGTGTCCTCTTAAGTCAGGGGTGTCCAACTCCAGGCCTCAAGGGCCGGTGTCCTGCAGGTTTCAGATGCATCCTTGATCCATCACAGCTGATTCAAATGGCTAAATGACCTCCTCAAGATGTCTTGAAGTTCTCCAAAGGCCTGGTAATGAACTAATCATTTGATTCAGATGTTCTGACCCAGGGTGATATCTAAAACCTGCAGGACGCTGGCCCTTGGGGCCTGGAGTTGGACACCCCTGTCTTAAGTCATACTGGTTTCCACGATTGGTACAGAAGCACTGAACTACTGTCCACTGAATACTTAGGATATTATAGGCTTTGGACAACACTGAGCGTGGTTGTTTTTGATGTTTTTATGGAATTGTTGACTATAAGCATTTGAAACAATGCAATTGGCCCACAGTTCAGTCAGTTCAGTCTTTTGACTGCATTTAAAAGATGTAGGTAGCAATCGTGACATTGTGCATTGTTTAGTAAGCCCTACTTTATCCTTGTTTCTGACTCATAATTTACAAAATCAGCATTTTGTTGCACATAAGTGTTAAACCAGCGACTGAACCCATAAATATTCATGAAAGTGTTTACTGAGGTCAAAGATCGAGGGACCCTCAGGGCTGGTTTGCAGTTGCTTGGGCATTAGAAGCCTGGGCTTCACTTTGCAGAGCTGTAAACTAGGTTCATCATATATGGATGAAACAGTTTTTATTCTTTTCTGCTTTACTAATATCTAATTTAACTTTTCCTCTGTGCACTAATCAACCGCCCACATTTATTTCCCCATTTAGCCAGAGAAAATCGGCCAGTCTCCAGTCGCTCCAACATCAGACGGAGACAAGGTGGACCTGGAGGCCTTCAGCGAGTTCACCAAGATCATCACTCCCGCCATCACCCGTGTCGTTGACTTTGCCAAAAAACTGCCCATGTTCTCTGAGGTGAGTGGCGGTTAATTTGACCTGAAGAGCACAGCGGAGGCCAGAATTAACACAAAAATTGGCAAAACTGTTCATTTACCACAGCTAAACCAAGACTGCTTCAGTTTACCAGAGATGTCCAGCACACAAGGAAAGTGCTGATCATTTACATATTTCCTCAAGCAATCGCAGTGTTTGCAAAATAAACCGGCCTTTGTTTCTGACAATTAGTGAAGCATTCCTGCTCCTGTTTGGCCTGCCTCACTTAGCAGCACGTAATCATGTTTCCCTTCTGCGCTGCTTGTAATGAGACCTCGGGTGATTGGATAATTATCAGGGTGTATCAGAACTGTTGTCTAGCGGGACAGCTGTAGTGACAGAGCAGTATGACTGTGAGTCTGCTGCGTGATGAATTACAGAAGAGGAAAAAGTCTTTACTGTGATCTATTAGAGTTTATGAAAATGTCACTTTTTTATTTTTTAATCAGCATATTTTAATGCATTGTATAATTATTATACAAGAATCGCTATCATGATGGATACTACTAATCAAGTCAGTGTCTGAGCATAGATAAACTCATAGTTTAGCTATAACAAATTTAAAGTTTGAATATTCCAGTCACAAGCACATGATCAGCAATGTTTAATTTCCTATCTTCTTCTCACATTGTAACATATTTTATTATAAAAGAAGCCATTTTAATCTGATTAAAGAGGCAGAGGGAGGGAACTTGTTTGGCTTACAAGCGATCTGTTCGTGGCTCTGCAATAAATTACTAATAAGAATCCACAGAAACAAAGCCAGCATTCATTTAGCCAGTAAAAATTAATCTGTTGCTTTTTGACAAATTGATGCAGTACTAACTGCATTATTAGGCATTTACTTTTAAGCCTGCCCCCTAGTTAGAAATTTACAAGACAAATCAAGCCAGTGAATGTCAATTAATCTGCTCTGCAGTCAAGAGCAACGAGGAAAGAAACCAGCTTACATCAAGGTACGATTAATTCAGCACATCAGAGGCTGCAGATTTAATTGAACAGGTTTTAACCCAGAGTTTCTAATATCCATGTAAATCAGGGTGTATTAGTCATAATCTGTGTTCATCAGTGGGGGGGGGGGTACGCCTATTTTCAGCCCATCTTCATATTTCTCCTCCTCCCATCCCTTCCTCTTTAGCACGTCTCTCTGCCTTCCTTGCTCTCATTTATTATTTAGTTTCCTCTTTACCTAAATTCTCTCTGCCATTATTTGCTGTACTGCTTTATTGACACTTGGATAATGGCGAAGATGTGGGAAGGTAGCAACGCAGCTGAGTCATATCTAATGTGTGAGCACTAAGGCAATCAACTGAAGGGCAGATATTTCTCATTTTTCTATGAAACTTACTGAATTAAATAAAAAATTGGTGTCAAAGATTCAGTTTGTGGATGGCAGGTTTACAGGGCAGTACCTGCTGTGAAACCATGGATGTATACAGATGCCAGTGTTTGAAATAATGCTGCAGAAGACACTGGCATTTTTTGTTAGCTTGCTTCATTTTTGTAGTTATTTATTACTACGACCCGTTGATATCGGCCATAAAATGAGATGATACAAGCAGCTTAATTGAGTTTCCACTGAAGGGTGTCTGCGATCCAGATTGGCTGAGGAGCTCAGTAATTTGGGATGGACTCAGATTAGAGCCACTATTCCTCCACATTGAAAGGAGCTAGGTGAAGTGGTTGGAGCACCTGATTAGGACGCCTCCTGAACACCTCCTTGTTGAGGTGTTTTTGGCATGTTCAGCTGGAATGTTGGCCCCAGGCAAACCAGGGCTTACTGCAGAGAATATACCTCTCAGATGGCTTCTGGTGTTTCTGGAAGAAGAGCTGGTGAAAAGGAGGTCTGGGCATCTCTGCTCAGACTGCTGCCCCAGCCTTTAGATCCAGATAATGAGCGGTTGGATGGATATTATACAGCAAAATGGTTTATAAAGGAACACAGCTCTCTGAAATACAGTAAACTAAATAAAATACAGTAAAAATGGGTTAATAAATTTGGTAAAAACATACAAGGACATCAACTTTCAGATGACATTATAGTGACTCAGCATAGACAGCATGTAAAGTATAGTGGTATCTTTTATTGAATGATTATTTATTTATTTAAAAAACCTGTTAAATCATTTTGTTTTTGGTTTTTTTGCACTTAATGTTCACGTTTATTTTTAGCCTTTCGCGTGACCGCTTGTCTGTGAAAAGCGCTTCATAGATAAACTTTTCTTACGTACTTGCTTTGTTTTTGAGAATATGACAATATGTTTGCTCGGAAATGAAAACGAACGTGTTTTTCATTCACCAGCTGCCTTGTGAAGACCAGATCATCCTGTTGAAGGGCTGCTGCATGGAGATCATGTCCTTGCGCGCAGCCATGCGCTACGACCCGGAGAGCGAGACGCTGACGCTCAGTGGGGAGATGGCTGTGAAGCGGGAGCAACTGAAGAACGGCGGGCTGGGCGTGGTGTCGGACGCCATCTTTGATTTGGGCAAGAGCCTGGCACAGTTCAACCTTGACGACACGGAAGTGGCGCTCTTGCAAGCCGTGCTTCTCATGAGCTCAGGTTAATGCTAAAACCTTTATTCCACATATTTAAAGCTACATGGCAGTCTCTGGACTTGTTGCACATGTTATTAGTGATATATCAGTTTGAATTTAATGCAATTTAAATGCAAATTGTTAGTCTCCTTTGGCCTTGCAGTTGCAATACAAAGACATCATTACTCGATACTCTACATATCATACAATGTAGCCTATTTTGAATCAAAATCTAATTATAGTCTGAAGATAAATGTCCACATGCATATTCAGTGTTGGGAGCTCAATTTAAATGTGATGAATAAGTCTTTGCATGTCTCTAGTCTTGGTTTATTTATTGTAGAACATTTATTACATACATGCGCAAAAGTGCAGTTTTTTCAAATAGTAGGATGCAAAAAAAGAGGGGATGCCCTCGTCTCTCTCAGTGCATCCACCAATTATTTAAAATATGGCAAATATACATAAATAATATATTAATATACATTTGGTGCTGCTGCCCCATGGTTAGCACCATCGGCTCACAGCAAGAAGGTGCTGGGATCTATGTGGTCATTTCTTTTCATTTTGTTGAGTGATATTCCGGCCTTCTCCCACATTCCTAAAACATGCATGGTTAAAGTACTTGTAAACTAGCCACAGGTGTGAGTGTGAATGGTTGTCTATCTCTATGTGTTGGCCCTGTGATAGACTGGCACCCTTTCAGGGCCTACCCAGTCTTTAGCTCTATGACAGCTGAAATAGGCTGCAGCGCCTCTGAACTGGATAAATGGAATAAATTGGATAGATGAATGAACGTAAATAATTTATAGTTGTTTTTTTGTTTTTTTTACTGATTAAAAAAACTGAAAAAGAAAGATAATATTAAAATGCTGTTAGGACAAACAAGAACTACTCCCTGCCTGGCTGGTGTGCTTGTGGCGTTGCGTTCAACTGGGAAGGAGAGTAGAGAGAGTAGTCAACTAGACAATGAAACATTGCTGTCCTCCTTAGTCGGCAACAGAAATTTTTTTTCTGGACTGCAGACCCAGGAGATGCCTGGATATTGAAACCCCTGGCGAAAAATCCCAGCAAGGATTTCAGTCTCTAGATGTGCAAAGCTGGTAGAGACATACCCTAAAAGACTGTAGAACCACCTTTTGCTGCAATTACAGCTGCCAAAGTATTGACTCAGGGGGCTGAATAATTACGTACACCCCACTTTTCAGTTATTTATTTGTAAAAAATGTTTGGGATCATGTATGATTTTCGTTCCACTTCTCACGTGTGCACCACTTTGTGTTGGTCTTTCACGTGGAATTCCAATAAAATTGATTCATGTTTGTGGCTGTAATGTGACAAAATGTGGAAAAGTTCAAGGGGGCCAAATACTTTTGCAAGCCACTGTATGTTTCACTTCATATTTTTCCCTGGTCATACATGCCCCAGTGCATCCTTCAGAATGTGCACGATGGAGAAAAATGTGTGAATGCAGCTTGTAGTTAGTCCTCAGAAGTACTAAGAGAAAAAACTTACACTAAGTAGCAGTCTTCTTACCATTTTAAAGTTGCTCTGGTTTAGGAACACACTGTGAACTATATGAAAAAAAACTGGCACAATGCCACCAACAATGCGTAACCACATGTGATGTTAATCTGCAAAGGGATGAAAGCTGCTGGTGCTAGCATCGCTAAAGTATCCACACTTATGCTAGAGTCACACTAGTTAAAACAGTGACTGGAGATGGCAGCGCCACCAAAATTATGGCAACCACGTGCAGTGAATTTGCAGCCTTGTTGTCTTTAAAACGGTTGTTTTTAAGACGAGGATCAACTCTGCGACCGCTCGCAGTCAGCTAGCCTCCTAAGAATGACTTTGGTGCGCCCAGACGCCCTTAAAATGGCAGTGAAAGAGAGCTCATTGCTATCAGTCTGGGATTAAATGGGGTCAAGCTGGCATTAAAAGCAATCTGCTTGTGATAAATGTGATAAATCAGCGAAACTGCAAATCTATTGCTTTCTGTATGCACATAAATTCACATTAAACAGAAATTCACGTCATGTGCGTACATTCAGAGTCTAGCCAGAATTTTATAGATTTCAAATATAAATTCCTCCACAAATAGCGAAGTAGTTGCTGCCAAAATTGCATAAGCGCTCAGGAACCTTATAATATATATGAATATACCCAGACTGCAACCAGCTGGCAGACAATTAAGCAGAATACCCTATTTAAAAGAGACGCAAAGCAAAAAAATTGTGCTCATCGGCACAGACTCATTGGCAGTTTGTCTGTATTTGCAAATTCAACTGCAATTATTTGCTAACCTTCACCATTCTGAGTGACTTCAGTCAGCCTGAGTCACATGGGGGTTGTTTAAAGACAGGTTGAATACCACCAGGCACCCTATGCAATCACATTGTGATTAAAAGTGTTATGTAGGTGTTGCAACCACATAAGTGCGAAAGAGAAAAAAAATTAATTGCAGTCACCACATAACCACCAGCCTTTACTAGTCACAAGGATGTTGCCATCCTATTTTTATTCTAGCGTGACTGAGCCAATAAAAGTGAATGTCACCCAGATGGCACCATGATAATATAATGCTATTTGCAGTAAGAACCTTGGACATGATGCTTGATAACAGGTCTCATCTTATTTAGTATTGCTAACATTTATAGTTCTTACATCTTCAACTATGTAGTACTCATTGTCTATATGTTCTCTTTTCCCTTCTCCTTCTTCTATCCTTTTCCCATATTTCTTCTCCAACCCCCTCCCCACCGCCATCTGCGCTCCCTCTTCCCGCTCGCCTTCTTTGCTTTGTGCAGATCGCTCAGGCCTGACCTGTACGGAAAAGATCGAGAAGTGCCAGGAGACGTACCTGCTGGCGTTCGAGCACTACATCAACTACCGCAAGCACAACATTCCCCACTTCTGGCCGAAGCTTCTGATGAAGGTGACGGACCTGCGGATGATCGGGGCGTGCCACGCCAGTCGCTTCCTTCACATGAAGGTGGAATGTCCCAACGAACTCTTCCCCCCGCTCTTCTTAGAGGTCTTCGAGGACCAGGAGGTGTGAGACACACTTGCCGGCACGCAAAGGGAAGAGAAAGTTGGAGCGAAACAGAAGATGGGTTAGTCCATCGTGCTTGTGGGGGAAGAATGGAGGGAGAATCCTCTCTGCAGGAATCTGCATTTCTCTGACATCACATTCACAGTATGTGGTTTTAAAACTGGAAACAACAATATCAGAAACAACACACCAGCAACAGGAGAGTGAAGCAAACAGAGGATTTTGTTTTGTGAACACCCTCTTCTCCACCTCTTTCTCCTCCTTATACCAACCCCTGTTTTAAAATCTGTTTGGGGGCCCTTCTGTCTGAGCATAATGTCTTATCTAGTAAGAGTTGTAGCCATTTGCCAAGACACAAACACACACAGACACACACACACACACTCACAGCCTGTTCCACCTCAGTTCTTCAGGGCAGCACTCTTTGGAGGGTCAGTTCCCCCTCCTTGGTTTTATTGTAGCGGTCACAGATTTACACTTGTCTTGAAGCCCATGTTTCCAGCGTCAAAGCTGGCCAGCACCTCTCAGTATTATTTCTGAATAAGTGTTAAGGCATTGATTCAGAAGGTATGGACAGTAGTGTCATCTTGTTGCTCACAGTCATGCAGGCGCACGAATTTAGCAGACACTGCACATAAAAATTTCAGCAGACGTAAACGTTTCCGTGGTGTATAACGGCGGCAGTAAAGCAGAGCAGCCACACCACTTATCAATTACTCAACTCAATCTGAGCCATGACAGCTGTTTTTGGAGCTTGTTCTTCTCATATCCCTGTGAAACCGGTGCTATATTTATATAAGGCTACTCCAGTTTTATGAAATTGTGTTCTCTACCTTTGAAAAACATACAGACCATGGCTTCATATCTACTTTCATTTTTGTCATTGGACCGGTTCCTGTGACATACAACACACACATACGCACACACACGAGCAGACTTGCCTTGTCATTGCCTATGCTGCTTGTGCCAGCAGCCTACCATCTTATGAATGACAAGTAAGCCCTTCTCTGTCTGAAGAGTTACAGCATTGAAGGAAGGGAAGGAAGAGAAAAAGAAGGGGAAGGAGAAAGGGAGATGCTTAGAGGGGAGGTGGGAGAAAAGGAAGGCGCAGGGACAGAGAGAGGAATTACAACGTAAAAGCTGGACTGTAGCCAGAGGTCAGAAGTAAATCTCCCACACCCAACCTCCGAGGAGGCTCTGAATAGCAGCAAACACCAGCAAGACGGCAGGCCTCATCACATACACACTGACTCTCTTTTTGTCTTTTTAACTCTCTCACACACACGAAAACACACATCACCTCAGAGTAACGTGAATGCCTCATTTTACTGAATGCACTGCACGGCAGTGTTGATATACAGCCCTAACCTGCAGGGTTTGTACAGAGTCCTCTTATCGTGGGCTCAACTCAGTGTGGCCCCTCCAGGCTTCCATACACATTTGCCTTCTGTTTTGTTTTGTTTTTTTCTTGCTTCTTGGTTATTTTCTTTTTTTTTTTTTTTTTTTACCATGGACGTCACTGAGAGCAGGCAAATGCCAAGAAGGCTACCATTTACCTCAAAGTGGACACACCCCTAGGCTGGGGCAGCATTACTGCCCCTGTGGTGTCAGGCACTACCTCACCTCTGTGGACACAGGGCAGCTGCCCACAGCCTACACACAGACATACACCATTCGAGTTGGAGTATGTGTAGAATGATACACAGATGTGCATAGCTTTTTGCATAGGTGCACACTCGTAGTCATGGAAAGACTAAAACACTCGCAGAATACACACATACACACAGCGCTGTCACTTGGTTCAAATGAAATACCACTGAAGACAGGAGGGCCAACCATCCCCCTGGAAGGTTTTACCCCCTTCCAGGGAGTGGTACCCATAACATTCGGGTTATCTCTTCTTCTTTTTCTTTTTCTTTTTTTTTTATCAAGTGGGACCAAGTGTCATCTTTTCAAATTTGGATTTACCAGTTTCTCTAAAGACAGAAACCGGCTCGCAGAAGCAACGAAGGACAGCGTGGGATGTGCAGCCCATTAAAGCAAAAAGCAGCAAGAGGAACGATTACACGGAGTAACTGAAAAGTCAAGGTGGCCACGCCCGTCAAATCAGCATGTGGTGATGACGTACCACGCTACACTTACGATAGCTGCCACTGGAGCTTGGTAAATATTTTCATGGAAAATTTCAGCTTTCTGTCATGCATGGGCAGTGTGTTTGACATAAAAAATGATGGAGTGAAGCCTCCTCACAAGCAACTCAATCGCACTTCTAGCTCCCCAACGCTCACTACTATAGCAGTAATATCTCAGCTCAAACATCCATGGCAGATATGACAAGTTTACCCTCCAAATGACCATACAAGAGTGTTTGATTTGATTTCAAAAGCTCACTCTGTTCAATCCAATTCTGGGGCCAAGCCAAATCTCACTGGGTTGAAAGAAATCTAGTTTATTTTCTATCCAATACCAAGCAGTAGTTTATACTGGGCACATGCACAGGATGGGTTATCCACACCTCCTCAGAGCTTGAGTGCAGTTGGGAGGGGAGAGGAACTGGAACGCCATCTTTGGGCACAGCGGTGGAGTCTGGTTTGATTCTTCCTAAAGTGCATCACCACCTCTAGAGATCCATCCCCACTCTTTTCTTTTCTACCCTCCTCTTGTCCAGTCCGTGACACTGCCCTTTCTGGAGCCTAGCTCAAGTCTAACCCCCCCTCCTGCCATCAATATGATAACAGACCCCACTCAGCCAGGCTGGTGGGAGTTTTTGCACTAATGCAACACCCCATAAACTCTCCTTTTCGGGTTAGTTTCCCCAATTAAAATTGACCACAAATGGGTATTCTGAACTGCTCTGTTTAACTGGGCCTTTGCACTTGCAGTGGGCTTGGCCCTAAACCTGTCCTGTTGTCAGCATTACACCAGTAGAGCCAAAACAGCCCAAAAGCAGTGGGCAGAGATCCCTCCATAGGAGGGCTTTCTCTTTATCCATGTAGTACTCACTGTCCCATACTAGAGCCCACTCAAAGTTCACTTTAAGCCCTCTTCTGAACACTGAAAATCCTCTCCTTTACCCAAAGCATCCTAGCTGTCACCGCTGAGCAGTTCATACCCAGTTCTGTCCAGATTCATTCACACCAAACAGGATCCAGGCCTTGTGAAACAAGGCTGGCCATAACTGCCCTTTTAGAGTGGCGCCACCAATTGAATGTGACCGACAAAGCAGCAGGGACGAGAGACTGGAGTGTGAGAATGCGTGGATGCAAGAGAAGAAGAAAGGACAGGAAACAAAGAAACAAACAAACAAAAAAAGCTGAGGGCCCCAACTCTCACTGCCATCATTGACATGGGCGAGAGGGGGTGATGTGGCTGGTTGCAGAGACAATGTCGTCAAACACAGGGAGGAAGGGCAGATGTCCCCTTCGGCTCCCACGCAGCCCCACGCAAACCCCCGCTCCCGTGCCAGCTGACGACCCCAAATGTCCTCCCTCAGCTCCCACTGTAAGGATTACCTCCAACGTTCAGATTGTGAGGATCAGGAAGACAGATCCCGCATTCCTGAGATGCAGGTTTGGGATTCCAACACATCTTTGTAAAAGAACCGATAAAGAAATCGACGGCCTTTGTTTTTGTGAGCTGACTGGGTATGTGCGTGTGACAGTAGGGGTTATAATGCTGCTTTTTACCTTCTGAGTCTGATGTAGATTAAGAAAACAAAAGATATATGAAAAGGATTTTACATCCGTCAAACAATATGAAAAAAAAAGATGACTTTAAAAAAAAAAAAAGACTCCGGAACAAAATTATTGGAGATTTTTTTTTTCATTTTATCATTGTTTTCTTATATTTCTGTTTGTTTGTTTTTTTGACCCTTCAACTGCTCTGTGTAAAAGAAAAACAAAACAGCTGTTGTCACTTTTTGACCATGTGTGCAGTGTAACATATTTCACTTCTTTTTCACGTCTATAGTTTGTGTTTGTAAGCCAACTGATCTGTTTGTCCGTGTGTCTGTCCAGTTGTCCGTCCCCTTTTATCAGGAGGAAATTTACAACCAACAAAAAAAACCCAGGAATTTCTTTTTTTATATATATTTTGTTCCTTTTTTTTTAATGAAATACATCTTTGGAGGAAAGAAAAAAATAACAAATAGAAAAAAATAACGCAACAAAAACTGAAAATACAAAAAAACAACAAAAAAAACTGAAACACAATCTTGTCATACCTCACACAACACAAGACTCAAAGGAACTTGGGAGGAGTCATATTTTGCAGGCACATGTGAAAGTTCAGAGATGCATATATAGATTTTAAAAAAGTGTACATGTCGAGATAATATGTGCTTGTGTACGCATCAGTGTAAGTTACAAAAGGACTCTTCCCTCAAGCTTTGGTGCCCTCTACCTTATTGATTTGGTTCTCGAATGACAGGAGGTGCAACTTAAACTCAAGAAAATGTCGAGACATCAGCTCTGAGCGCTGCCAACGTGAGCACTTCTCCACCTTAAAGGCACAGTCTTTAGACGGTAAACCTAAAATGTGAATGGCCCAGAGACTGAGGGATTGACTTCTGTAATAGCTGAGTGTTTTATGGAATTGAATGTAGCTGACAGGAGGGGGCTGGACCTGACCCCGGCACCCACAACCTAACTTCCACACACCAGCAGAGAGGATAGTGGTGTCACATAGATGTTACAAAACAACCAACAAAACTGAGAATATATATATTGCCCGTCTGCAAGGTGCAATACTATGTTATGTATTTTTCTATGTTTTGTGTTTTGTTTTGTTTTTTTCATTTACAGCTTATTTTGGCCATAACCAAGGATGTAAATACAAAAACATACAACACTCGAAGATTCATTGTAAAAAGTCAATTTAACCGCTCCATCCCATTGTCATGCAAGTGGATAAAAGTAAAAAGAAAAAAAAGAGCAAAGTAATGTGTAATGCTTGTTACATTTTTTTTTATGTGTGCACCCTCTCACATGTGCATGCAGATTCATATTCAGAAGTGCCCTGTGACATTAATCGTAAGCCCTGTGCCTCGTGTTGTTTGCAAAGAGATGGATGCATACCCCTCGTGTTCTCACGCTTCACATGAATGACTATAGTTTTGTGTGTGAGTGTGCGTTTACCTATGGGATCAGATTCCGTTTTTCCAAACTATTGATGTGAGTGTTGCCAGCAGCTGCGGCAGTTAAAGGTCAGGAGTGCAGTGGGGGATGTTTTATTAAAAAGACGCTTCACCCCAAAGTCAAATCTACATGGCCCATAGTAGAGCCAGGGTTCTCTAAGTGTGCTCCAGTGGCTCTCAGTGGCATTTTTGTGGCCCAAGTAAGAATCCACTACTATTATAATTTCATATATTTGCATATATTTTATTCATCCACAGTTCTATCAGGACTGAGAAGCCAAAAGTAAGACATGACAGGAAAACAAGGACTTTATTAAAGTGTCAAAGAGCAGTGGATAAAGAGGCAGGTCGATCTAGCAATAGGGAACCCAACAGAAAAATAGGGAAACAACAGAAAAGACTTGGGAAAAATGGGGCTTGACCAAGACGTATAGGTAAGGGTGATAAGCAACAGGTGAATTCAATCAACAGAACATGTTAAAAGAAAATTCGATAATCAACTAGTTTTCTGAAGATACACACACTTAAAAAGCCTTTGATTAAATGTGCATTTTTCTTGTGCTCCCTAAATCTGCAATTGGTCATCAAAACACCGAGAACCCCCTTATGTTGGTGTGAGTTGCCTTTTTCTTTTCCAGAGACATGAGCTGCAGAAACGTCAGCCTTCTCTTGAGGAACAATAATTCTAACGGGCCCATTTACTTTGTGCTTCTTAAAAACTCCCCTGTCCAACTGAGCTTTCAGTCGCCAAGTCGCTGCACTGAAGGAAAGCATGCATCTACCATGTGACAAGAAGCTCGTGCCTATGACAGAATGTGAACATGACCGGCATTCATTTCAGCTGAGCGGTAATGCTTTTCATTTGCAATGGCAGGCTTAGTTTAGTGCAAAGAAAACAGTCTGTACCTGAAACTGGTCATGTCGCAACACGGTTTCTGACTTTTCTGTAAGTAACTTCACATTACTTCTGAGTTTTATAGATTTTGGGGCACTTATGTTATAATTAAAGAGAAAACAGGCGTATCTACAAATTATATATCCAAAACTCTGCAACTCACACCAAATACTCCAGGTAGATAAACGTGTATATTTGATTTTGGGTGACTTACAAAGGAAAGTGGGAAGTGGGATAGGGAGCAGGGTATCATTGGGATTGAATGCCAAACAGCTGTTTAACACCCACATCGTAGTTGGCAAAGTCTAAAATGGATTTGTTCACCAATGCCCCAAAAAGCCAGCCTAAATACACTGAATCCGAACTTTCTGTGAGGATCAATTTAACTGAAACCTGAAGTAGTTTGCAACAAGTACGTGAGGCCTCATTAACACAAGTCATTTCAGATGCCATTGGGGCCTTCTTCCACAGGTCATTTGCTGATGTGGTTGCACTTGTGAGGCATAAAGATTACTTGTGCATCTTGGAAAGACAAATGTGTATGTATAGCATTTCAGTAACCAGCTAAAACGAGTCTGGAATCACCTCTCGAATTAGTTTCAGTAATCAGATCTCAGTCAGTTTTAAATGCTTTTCTGGATCCATTTCCTTTTTTCTGCTTCTATGAGATTGAATAGCTAACCAACCTTCCCACAATGCATAAATGAAAGTACAAATGGTGTCTTAAATGATGCAAGTTTGAACCAAGCATCATATTTTCAGCTCCAACTGTTTAAAGCTGAAAGTAATTTTGGTTTATAACAATTGGTGACACCCCGAGCTCACACAAATCATGCTGTTCCTCACCACAACAAGCAGACTGATGTTTTTGAGGCTGGCTTTGTGGAGCTTCTCAGCCCTTCCCCTCCATGGATCCTGGTTTATTCTCACATGTTGACATGTTGGACAAGGGTGGAGATTGTCTGTAATGTCTTTTGGTTTTATGGTTGTTTTTGGTTTCCCTCTCCCCTCCCCCATGCCAAATGTAGAGTTTGTTAAGACATGCAAGTAGCAAGATGTCTATGCAATTTCCCTCCAAATCCCTCCAAAAGACATGCTCACTGTAACAACTGTGAGCCGGTCTTGCTTATGAAATCAGATTTGGCCCTTGCTTGAATTCCAGAGGTTCTTTGCATGACCCAGAGACCCTTGCTACTTTGTGTGGGTGCGGGCCAGGACTGTTGGGGTTAGCTGGCCTTTAGCCCAGCCTGCTGGCTGGTCCTTAGGCTCAGTAAATCTTCACAGTCGTCTGGGACCCAGAGAAGTAGGAGGGCTTCCGGGGATGTTGTGGAGAACAAGGATTCTACGAGACGTGCTGTTTTTTTGTGAACTGCTCAGAAAGTGGTGTGTGTATGTATATGTGTGTTGTTTGGAACTTTGCTTGTGTGCGTCGAATGCGATGCTCTCATTGTTTGGTGCGTCTCAGAGCCTCAAATTATAAAATTAAAACCAGGCCCTAAATTTAGTCTTTCTTGAAAATGTAGCTTTAATCTTTGCATATCGCGACCAAGTTGCTGAAAGTTATGTATTCAGAGTAGTTGACGTTCATATGTGGATTTTATGTAGCACAAGTAAGGTTAGTTAACCATGTGCTTACCTCTGCTTTTGAAATGTGAGGCAAGTGTTTGATAGCAAAAATCCATTTTCCTTTAGCACTTACTTAGAAGCACTTTGAATTGACCAAACCAACAGTAGGTAGAAGATTCGTCAGAGGTAATACTATAATCATGAATATATATATATATGTATATTTAAATTGCACCCAAGCCAATTGACTTTTGCACCATTAAATTTCTGTTCAATCTGAAAGTAAAAACGGCAGAGGCCTTTGGGCAAAGCCATGCAATGAAATAATCAATTATAGCGTTTACAGTTATTTTGAATGAAGTGCAATAAGTGGCTGAGTAAACATTGTGAATTTTATTTGATTTTTATGTCTAATCAGATCTCTTTCTTACATTTGTGTGAAAATAATGCACTGTCCCATGAGAGCATCGGCAAGACCCAGTACACACACACAGACACACACACGTGCACGCACACACGCAAACACAGACCACTTTTTGTGAATGGGTAAAGGAAGCTATTGAAGGATTCTCTCAGGTAAAAGAACATTTTCTAATAAATGATGATGAACCTTGGATGAAAAAACCATTGTTAGCTCCTCTTTTTTGTCTCAATTTGCAATCACCAGTGTTCATTTTACACTTGTTCTGTCATCCTTTCCTGGATGGAAAGGAGTAGACATCCAGGTTCCCAGAAATCGGACCCCAAGTCCAACCTCGGGCAGACATAACCAGGCCCTCACTGCTTTCTTAACCCTAAATCGAAATCGATTTCTTTACATGTGGGGAGTGTTTTGTCTGTTGGTTTTTGTTTGTTTGGGTTTGGGTGCTTTTGTGTATCGCTTGGGTTTTGTGCCGCACTATATGGAAGACCATTCCTGCCAGAAAAAAAGAAAAACATCTGAAATATTAGGAGTATTTTTTAAAGCATCAGATTGATAAGAAAATGCTGAGAGACCAAGTCATCATTTTTACTTAAAGGAGATCGACTCCCATGTTCAAGTCGTATATTTTGATTTCACACGGTGATTATCATCACTTAATTTTGACATTTGATTAATTTAAAGTGTTAATTATGGGGTTATAACATCAAAGTCACACATGTTTCATGAAACACGTCTTTCATAAAAGATCATGAAAGAGAAAGTCAAGATCTGTTGTTTTTGACTCCGTTTGGTCGGTTTTTTCGTGGAATAGGTGAGTTACCATAACACAGTAAAGACATACAAAATGATTGATTTTGGTTACATATTTATTTTTGATTATCAATAAATTACATTCGCATAGATATATGCAAGAAAAACTGTGTGCAAAAATAAATTCATCCTTTCATGTCAGCAACACTCTAGCGTCTTTGCACTCTTTAGGGTCAAAGTGCCAGCAGCAATATTCAGCTTTTCCTCATCCAATTGCTTGTGGTGTACATACAGCAGTGATTGGCTCCCATCCAAGCCAGGCACTATTTGCCCTCAGCGGGGCAAATGAACTGGCTGTAGTCCTCCAGCCACAGGCCTCTTTTAGTTTCTGTTTAACTCTCAGTTGTATGGCTAAAACCAAGGCTGTGCATGTATATAAGTGTGTGCACGTGGATGTTGCTGTTTCACATGAGAA